CGTAGCAGCAAACGTGCACGCGGTGCAGCGGCGATCGAGAGGCTCGCGCACACATGAGCCGAGCGACGATGAAATCATCAAGGTTGATCTTAATAAGTTTTTGATGCCCGTACATAAAATTTGCTCCACAGCGCTCTCTCTCTCTCTATCTCTCTCTCTCTCTCTTGCTCGCGCGCGCGGGCATTATTTTTAAAAAACGGCATTTTCGATCCGCTACCGTACGGCTTTATGCATTATAACTTAGTCACACGTGCTGTGTATATGCAGGCTTGCTACCGCGCGCGGCTGCGGCTGGGGATATACACTGCTTAGCCGCAGGTATATATTACACACGTACAACACGCACATCAAACGATCCGCTCGGTGTGGATTTCTTATAATTGTTCTTATTTTTGACAAATTCCTCTCGCGTGGGCAATTTTTTCTCGCTCCCTCGGCCCGGCTGCTAAAATACGAGTTCGCTGACCACGAGTCGGCTGCGCACACAGCGATGGCAAGCAGGCGACGACGACGACGGCGGCGATGGATTCCTACGAGTGGGCTGCTTTTCGACTTCGTAGAATACACCGCGTGCTTTGAATGTCTTACTCTCTCTCTCTCTCTCTCTCTCTCTCTCTCTCTTGCTCTTTCGCTCGGGCTCTCGAGGATGCGTCTTTTTATCAAACTGCATCCCACAGCCGGTTTCGCGAAATTTCCCTAAAATTCGAATATAGCCGCCGTCGATGCGTGTTTGATGCAGGTCATATCGTATACGTGTGCGCGGGTAAGAAACTTTTCTCGCCGTCACGTGCAAATTCGCTAGTAGCCTGGGCTTCTTATGAATAAATGTATGTATGCAGAAGAAACGAGCCTCGAGTGAGCCAAGAGAACTGAAACACGAAGGAAGGAACGAGAGAGAGAGCCGAGGAGAAAGCAGAGCGAAGACGAGGCCCTTCCACACACACACACACGCACGCATACTACTATAAGGCCAGACTTGCACGGCACCGCTGCTGCACCGTGGCGTTTTTGCGCCACTTTCATCGTTCGCTCGCTCGCGGGTAAAACAGCCTCGGCCCGACTACGAGAAGAGAGCCAGGCACAACGTACGGACGTATATATACGAACGAAGGAACGAACGTACGAACGCAGAGGTCCCGGATTTACCCGGCGAAATGTTGAATTTATTAGATCGAGATACGCGAGGGCGTTACACACCTTCTATACATGCTACACACGTATATAGCATATATAGGCACATATACCTGGGTCGGTGTGTGTATGTCTGTCCGCGTGCCTGTGTGCCAGCCTTTGTACAATATGTACGCACGCATCCCCTTGTGCGCCGCGCGATGCAGGTTTGCGTTGTAGTAGTGCTCCGTGTGCTTCGTATTCGTATTCCGCTGCTCATTGCCGAAAAGTCTCGAGTCGAGCTAGGTCGAATGGTTGCAAAGTTGCAAAAAAATAACGATATTTGTTGCAGACCACCGCGCGTGGGAAAGGTCCTTTGAAAAGCTCCCGATATTTTTCTCTCTTATTTCGTACTGCGCACGCAGCGCGCGCCTCGATCATCTTTTTTACCCGAGTATGTAAAGCAGCGAGTGTAATGCCCTTTTATTATTATTTACAACTTCTTGGCATGCAGGACAGTACGAGAGAGTAAGAAGGAGAAAGAGAGAGAGAGAGAGAGAGATCTGTAAAGGAAGTATGGATGATTTATATCCATAGAGTGCAGCGTACATGTGTATGTGTGTGTGTGTGCATGAAAGAGAGAAGAGCTACTGCTGGCAGACTGCTGCTGTTGGCCGCGATAATACCAATCATTATCGTCGCTTAATAACAGGCATTACTGCCAACATTGAAATAATGCGCCGAGTTGCAACCACGCGGCCCCGGCCGCTTGACCCATTACTTTCTTAGCGAGCTTCATACTCGACTGCTGCTGCTGCTGCTGCCACCGCTACCTTCCTTTTTCGGTCCTTTCTTTTCTTGCTTCTTTTCGCGCGCGCGCGAGGAAATAAACGTTTCTTCGTTTCGTCGTGCCCCTTATCGGCGTGGATAAAAAGAAGTTACATTTATCGATAATAGAGCTCTGATCGTGCACAGTGGCAGAAACTTACGTCACGCGAAAGATAATGGAATAATGTGCATACGATACCATGCGTGCTTACTGCCTATATCTATCGTTTATATGCGATATACTCGATACAGAAGCGAAACGCCGAGGAGAAAAGAAAGAAAACTTTTATATGCTTCCATTGACGTGTACAGTAGCAGATATATATCATGAACATGCGTAACAGTTAAGAAGTGTTGTTTGGCGGACTTTGTTTCTCGTTCGTGGATAATCTCTTTCTCGCGCGCGATATATATAATAATGCGCGTAATCGACGTTGTCCGTTCGCCTCGTCGTCGCGAGGCAGAGGCAAACTTTTGGAATGTGCGCGCGGAATTTCTTATGGGACATTGTGTTATCCATCCTAGTGTTGTAATGGGATGATTGGCCGGACACGAGCGCTTGATGAGTAATTACACGCCGGGGCGAATGCGAGAACTACTGCGCTTCTTTCTCTGACTCTTTTCGGGCTCTGCTTTTGTTTAACTTTCTTTAGCCGGCGAGTGATACATATTGCGTGAATGATGCAACGAGTGCTGCAGCTAGTATAACATATCGAGCAAAGGTTACATTTTTTTAGTGCGGATAAGAAATTGAAAAGTCTTTAGTTGATTTTGGAGTTTGGCCGAAGATGACCGCATCACTCGCTATTTGTGATGCGAAAATTGAATAAAGAAAAATAAGAAAAGACGAGACTCTTGCGGTGGATATTGCCTTGACCGATACTAGTTGAGGTATTACTCGAAATCGATACTTGCACTTGTCGATTATTTACATAAACGACGACGGTACACGGGAGAGACGTCTTTCGCCGAATAGGCTTGCGACTATGAATTATTCAATTTATTCTCTGAAAATATTTATCGATTACCTCGTGCGAGATTGATGAATTATTCGATCAATTGGGCGCTGCTCTCTACGCTGGCGAGAGAGAGAGAGAGAGAAAGAAAAAATCTTTTCGCAAGCGATTGTTTCGTGGCTGCAGCTCGCATGTTATACGTATACACACGCGCGCTCACGTTAAACAAAGCCATTCCCGAGGGCGTTTAGCGATCTATCGAGTAATATATCGAGACGTATCGATAGCTACTGCAGAGCTCCAGGCCCTGCTTGCGATTCGCAATGCATCATTCAATTTCGAGCGGCTAAAAAAATAATAAAACTCCATTAAAAATCGTCTCTCTCTCTTTTGCGTGCGTTCAAGTATGTGTGTATGCGCTACGTATATTTTATGCGCGAGTATTGAAATGAAAAAAAAGGACGGAGGAGATATCTTACCGCAAGGAGAGAAAGAGATTTACAATAAAGGCAAAAAAATATCCTCTCGTAGAAGTATACACCACGCCTCAGGTGTATGTGCATATATACCTGCACCTGTATGTACGCGCGCGGCGATACCCACACGCTGTCAATCTCTCTCTCTCTCGCACGGCAACGCAAGTTTCATATTATAAGAGATGCCTTTCTCCTCTCCGTGAGGGGCGTTTTTCATATACATACATGTGCACGTTTATACATACGCACGCGTTTGCGGCGAGTTTTCATGCCACATGGACCGTGTACATACCCACAGTCGCACACACACATGCAGCTTATAATACACGCATAAGCAAGCAGCACGGGTGATGAGATGGACGTTTCAGGGAGCTGTACGCGATCGCGTGATTCCGCGAGCGAGAGGAGAGAATCGGTGGGCTCCTTTTTTTCTCTTCATCGTGCTTTTCGCAAAGAGAGAGACGGAGAGAAAGAAAGAGCGAGGGACTGCGAGAATCAAAGAAAATTTTTACTTCGAGTGCTGAAAAATCGGATAACGAGGCGCGCGCGCGACACGTTTTTGCAAAAAGCGACCACGAGCCGTACTGGCAAAACTTTTACAACGTGTGCGAGATAATGGTGAGAAAGTTGGCCAGAGCTCCGAACGTTCGCTGCAGCGCAGCTCGTCGATTTTCCTTCGGTGCCCGACGACTGCTCACCCATATACACCGCGTGTACAGGCCGTCCCGCGCTCGCGTCTATTAATACACATATACAAAGTTATTAAATAAAGCCATGTTTTCACTCCTATCGATGTTTTCTATATTATACACTCGCTCGCTCGCGCGCGCGTACACAGCACGTGTTTATATAAGCGAAAAGAGATTCACTTTCTATACATATAGGTCTATGCCGTGACTGACCATACACACAACGTAGCCGCGCACAAACAACAAACACACACACACACACACACACATGAACTCGAGCGCATTCGACTGAGCGCTAGCTTATTTGTGTGTACATGTGTGTGTATGTGCATAATCGTTCGCGTGTGCCGGTAATTAGAGCAAAAAGTACAATACAATATATATAAGCGCCTGCACACATACATACAGAAACTTGCGCGTATATACACTGCACATGGGCTCGTGTTGTGGATGGATGTATAATGTATAATTCACCAACAAAATAGTAAACTAGACGCGCAAACGCAGTTAATTGACCCCATCGTTAATAAGCGATCATCGGAGAACCCCCGCATAAACTATGTGACGCCCGTAACGCAAGTAAGAGAATTTATGTCCCCGAGCATACTATATATACTGCGATGTCCAGTACCCCCTCTTGAAAAAAGCCAACTAAATTGACAGATGTGCGTATCTGGTTACCGGTGCGCGTTATGCGCGTACACACACAAACACACGAGTGTAGTTCAACCCCGTCCCTGCCTGCGCCATTCTCCGTCTCTCGCACTCGTAAATAATTTCATCGACACTCGCTCCCGCGCTTAACCTTCGAACTTTGGCACAAGCCCTCGCACACAATATAATACTCCACACATAAGCTAATAATAAAATAAATTTGGCCCGCGTGTAGTTTCATTATATATTATGTTGGATGCGTAAGTAATGATGGTGCAGCTACTGACCTGTGTTTGCGTCAATCCGAGACTGGCGGCGAGCTCGGCTCGTTCGGGCAGGGCCAGATACTGCGTACGCTGGAATCGCCTGTTGAGCTGCTGAAGCTGCAGACTACTGTAGATCGTCCTTGGTTTGCGCATCTTTTTACCTTTGCCGTTTCGCAGCGAGCCGCCACCGCCGCCGCCCAACTCGTCGACGATGCCGCTTTTGTTGTCGAGTGGCGACAGATCTGCAAAGTGCATCGAAACAAGTCATGAGAATTCAGAAAACTTGGCGGTATCAAAAATGTATCACATGCATGTGTACGGCAAAACTCGAGAGGCGCGTTACGTATCGCTCGAAATTCCAATAAATTTCGATGCAATAATCTGCTCTGCATCGATCGCGACATTCTCTCGCACATATGTATGCAGCCCGCATCTCGACACTGCCGGGCAGCTGCACCGTACGCACATGCATGTACCCTCCGCAGATTATACACACTTTAATACGAGAAAGCAGTTTTTATCCAGTTTTTTGAATGAAAAACGCGCCTCATACCTACACGCACAACACTCGCGTATACCGGTATGAATTTTTCACCCTACTTGCTGCTGCTGCCTGCCTGCGCGCTACGATCGTCGTATATTAATTTATGTAATGTAAAAAAGGCACGATATCGAGCGCAGAGCGTGGCTCGCGCTGCTCGTCGTGCACGTGTCCGTGCACAATTAAAATTTAAATATGTTAACTAGAAGCCGCCGCTCGCGCTACTGCAGCATCAGTTAAGAGCTCCGCACTGCACTGCACAGACACTCATCGCGCACAGAAGGTTCGCGAGCGCGATCAGCGGAATTTTTGCATATGCCAGCGCCGATCTCCCGGTATCGATTAAATATTTTCATTAGGCGATCTGCTGCGACTCGAATTTCGATTCGAAAGGAAAACCGCAGCGAAACTCGAGTTGTTGTTGTTGTTGTTGTCGACGTCGTCGTCTGCGGCGGTGACTAGCGGAGGAAGAAAACTTTGTTACACACATCATACGCGTCGCGAAACGAACATTATCATCGACCGGCAAAGGAAAAAAGGGTTCGCTCCTGAGCTTGACGCACTGGCAAAAATAATAATATAAACGAGACCGATGAACTTGACCACAAAATGACTGTCGAATGATTATTACCGCGCACATTATAAGTAGCTACTGCTGCTGCCGCTGTTGCAACTCTCCCCCTTTTTTCTCTATCTCTCTCTCTCTCTTTCTCTATCCCTCGAGGCTAGTGTAATGCACGCACGTAAAGGGTCAAGCGCACTTATGCTCGCGTAGCTCAACTTGCCTCGAACTTTACGCACGTCGGGATACTCGTTATTATATTGTACTTTTTTCACCCGTCAATGTCTTGGAAAATTTCTGCAAGGGTTGCAAGCGTATACTGCCGCGACTGCAGTTCAGCTGGCTCTGATCCGACGGACGAGTGCGCCGGTGTCTCTACTCGGCGTAATTTGCTTTTGTAAGCGCACGAGCGGCAATCGATGAATCACCTATGCAATCCAGCGGTACATAGAATACGAAAAAACCGCACTTTGTTAAATATATTATGCGTATCGTCGTGCACGCAGCTCGAGTAATTTTAAAGAAATTTCGCGGGGAAAAGTGCCGAGAGCCACAGTACACCACAGTCAGCGCAATTTATACGAAGTTTAAAATTTTAAAATTCGCTCCCGCGTATACTCGAGCAAGTTCACGTATATTTTACACCGCGAATTCTTCAGGGGTTGGTGTGTTTTGAAAAACTTTTATTTTCTTTCTTTCTCGAATCACCGCGCGCGCGCGTATAGATCGCTTATTATACGACCAAAAACATTTTCTGCTCGTGCAAAGTTTTGATGTAAACGAAGCAACGATTTAGAATTATAAATTAGCTAGACGTCGAGCGAGAGATACAGCCGGAGCGATAAGAGACGCGCCGCATCGCACGCCTAGTGAGAAATCGCATTGAATGAAGTAATCACTATATACGCGTATGTACAATGTATGCGAGGTAGCTGCGCGATCTATAGCCGAGATATATTTCGCCGACGTATAAATTGAAATTATTCGAATATTTTCGCTACATGCATCTCTCTCTCTCTCTCTCTCTCTCTCGAAAAGAGCGACGCTGCTACTGCTGTCCTGGCGTTTTACAAGCTCCTGCGTCAGCGGTGCAGGCAAAAAACGCCGCTTCGCACAATGGCTCTTTCTTTCTCTTCCGTGTACAAGTGCTAAAAATCTATCGGACTGTGTGTGCTTTCTGTAACGCACTACCTTGTTTCTGTTTCTATCTTCTTTTTTTTTTTTTTACTCTTTTCGAGTCCCATTCGTCGTCACTTTCATCTAGATGTACGCGGCGGCAGCAGAGCCAAGGTGACGCTGACTACCATTACGGATTGCTTCGGATATCAATATACGCGCTACGCGAGGACCCCCCGTCGGCAGGCGCGTGTGCCGTTCGTCGGTAGGTCTCGCTCCCATTTAAATCCAAGAAACAAAAAAACGAGTTCTCGTTTCTCGCTTTAATTTATTCAACTGCGAGCAGGCAGATCTGAGAGGCGGTCGAGAGAATTATGCCCGCTGCAGCACACATGTGGCCGAGGATTTTAACGTATCGAAGTTTCTTGCCGCGCTCGCCGAGGGCTTCTTGATACGCTCGAGTTGCGAAGCTCTCGTGGCGGCGCGCGTTCGTGTGCTTGAGTATCGATCCGAGGCAAGGCTCGCGAGCTTGTCGTCATGCGAACGAAACTTTGGCTAGGCTAAGCATCGAATAGAACTTGGATTTGCCACGAAAATGTCAACCTCTTTTTTAGATTTTCTAGACTATTGTTTTTGTCGATCAAACCTCAAACGGACAGTTTGAAGTATGTAGAAAAATTCGAGGCGAGGAATTGAATAATTTATAACTGAATATGAATGTAAAACCAATCTTTTAATTCTATAAGCATTTTCAGATTAAGATCTTACTTTTATATGTAAAATTATCTTTCAATTTGAGTTGATACTCCTTGATTTTGATGCTATTGTTTTACGGCATTTCAAAGTTCAACTAATAATTAATTCAATTGGGTTATTTCATCTATTGAATTTATCTTATTAGTTATAGCAAATTCAAATTCGTCAAAAAAGTTTTTTATTCAATAATTATGATAAAAATATTCATGCGAGTCAAAAGAAACAAAGATTCTGAGAAAATTTGGCCACTTTGAATCAATAAAAAGTCAATCTTTGATACAATATTACCCTCAACAAGAATTGAATTGAACTATAAAAATGTCGCATACATTATATGCCCAATCAACGTCTGCAAAACCGATTCGTATGAATGCCAACGAGCTCGATTAGTTTACCCCGCGCACACTATTCCTGACGTGCCAAAAGATTCTTATCATTATTGGCTCATTCTTTTAACGGCATTATAAATATAAGCAGAAGCAGAGTTGTGTGCGGTCGCAGTGCGGAGCCTTTAGCGCACTCTACGGCTTTATGAGCCGAGCCATTACTTTTGTATTAGGTTCAACACTCGTGCGCAATTAAACGTCTATATATCAAGCCCTAACTCGCGTAATTACTGGAACTTTTGTTGACGCACACGTGAGCGACGCGTAGATCCGTCATTTTTCGACGATCAGACGCACAGTACAAAAGAAGTACAATGCACGAGAGTAAGTGTACGCGAGAGCATAAGCGAGAGGGCGGAATACGCTTTTTGTAATTTAGTAATAATAAGAATAAAAGTGAGAAAAATGCGAGACACACCGTACGTACAGTTGGGGTATTCACCGTCCTTGGGCGGCGACGGGCACTGCGGCGGGTACGAGCTGAGATGATAGCCGTAGGCGTTGTGCTGATGGAGCGGAGTGTACGGATAGCCGGCCAGGGCGCTGTGTTGCTGGTTCACCGAGTTGGACTGGCCGCCCTGATGGCCCGTCAGTCCGCCCACGTGCTGCGAGAACTGGTGGGCCGACGCGACGTTGTGGCCCGGATAGCCGCTGCTTCGAAGCGCGCCCGGATTATACAGATTGTTGTGCTGCAGCTCGATGAAGGCGGACTTGCCGCTCTGGGAGACGGGCGTGCTGGAGGCGCTGTCGGGTCCGTTGCCGGCTGGCCCGGGCGTCACCGAGCCCTGCATCTGGTGGTGCAGGTGCTGCTCGAGGTCCGAGCCGGTGCTGCCCGTCGTGCCGGCGTTCGCCCCGGCCGACTGCGGGGCCACGACCTGGGGAGCCGCGCCCGTCGGGCCCGACTGTCCCGAGCCGGCGGCCCCGCCACCGCCCCCGCCCCCGCCGCCCGACATGCTGTTCGGCGTCGGGGTGCTCGACGGACAGGGGTCGCCCGCCCCGAAAGGGCTCCCCAGATCCGTGAAGTTGAGCGTCGTCGTGGCGCCCCGTAGATCCACTTTCGAGGCGACTTCCGAGTCGCTGCTCTGGCCGAAGACTTGGTGGGCCTCGTTGGCTAGCCCAGCGGAAGCTGCTGCTGCTGCTGCACGCACCACTGCTGTCTGCGGGGCCAGTATATATTATTCGGCCTCACACCCACGCACACTTGGGTTTCGGTGCTCTTTTTCTCTCTCGCTTCTCTGTGAGCTTTATTTTCGACTCTCGGAGACTATCATATCATTTTCCTTTTGACGATGCACTCGGGCTCCTTTCTCGACACTTTATTATTTTTTATTTAGCACACTGGGTTGTTATAGCAATACACTATATCAATTAAAGCACTGACTATTTACGCTGTTCTATTTTTCTCTCTTGCTGTCCGCACAAATCCTGGGCACAATTAATACAACTCACTAAAATTTTATCAACAATTATAGAGATCGATCAATCGTCAGCTCGTATAAGCTGTCAAATCGCAGCGCAATTTCCGAGTCATGGTCCAGTCAGGATCCTGCGTTTAACCAAAATGCGTTCACTGTCCCAAGCTGACGTAAGTATTTGCAGAAATCCGTCAGTAGCGCATCAACACAATTAATCCAATGACCAATCGACCTATAGAATCACTATTTACTTTCAACAAACACTAGATAAACAAAACCTATCCCAAGCTTTGGGAACATGTCACGATTTGTTTCAATCTCGAGATAAACATAAATAAACACAATTAATCGAGGATTCTCGTCACCAGATCATTCTTCATAATCATCAAGTCACTAATCGATGATCGACGAATGCGCAGTTATCTATATATGCGAATAGAAAACACAACTACGTAAAGAAACGCGCACGAGAATACATATGCGAATGTAAATATATATCTATACGATCGGGCCTGTAGCACTGGCTTGGCTCGCGCGCTAACAACTCGATGCACTGCACACACCACGGCGGCGTGAACCGGTATAATGATACATAATGAACGGGCTGCGGCCTCCACCGCGGAGACCGTCCGGGAGAGGAGCGCGGCTGCCGTCAGGTGGCGCTCGTACGAGGCCCGTCGCGACGCCCACTCCACTCGGGGATTGGAGCACCGTGGCAAGATCCCCACCAGGCCTGGACTCCGATTGGTCGCCAGGCTACCATTATGGTGTCCCCGAGGGCGGAGTCTGGCGCCCAACGAGCACGGGCCACTTCGAAAGTCCGCTGCAGTGGTGTGGATGGCTCCGCGTTTGCCTGTGTGCGAGGTGTGCGTGTGTCCGCGAGCTCTCGGTGTGTTGGTGCAGCCGTGCCGTGGCTGCTGCTGCTGCTGCGTCGGTGTGCAGTGTACAACGCGTCTCTGTGTGTAAGTGTGTGCATGAGACGCGGCGGCGCGAGGCACAAGCCGGGGGTATATGCAATGCCTGGGCGCACGAGCTCCGCACACTCTATATCGTATCTCTCGGCTTGCATTGCAGCTAGTCGACTTTGCATTTAGCAATGTATATACGTAGCTATAAGCTAATATATAGTTATACTCGCGAGTACGCGTGCGTTTAGATAACTGCGGCTCGTCGGATTTTCAAAGAATCAAATCGATTTTTTTCTCATTTTTTTTGCTTCTCTTTTTTTTCCAACGATCGCGCGCGCGATGTTTTTAAAAAAGATTTTAATTCCATGCATTACGGAAACATTGTGTCTCTCATTACGGATTAAATGAGCTGCAGCTCTTCCAGTTCCATAATTTATAATAAAAACACTCGAGCATTTTCATATTACATGGTCGTTATAATTGTCACGAGCCGCTCGCATTGTGCATGCCAATGATAATTAATGCATAAGTGCATAAAGGAGCATCGCGTAAACGCACACATTCGCGCACACACAGACACGTACATATTATGATATTTTTCATAATTACAACAATTAAAGATAATAAACAGTGAATCGATTATGCCCGAACTGCTTGAGAAACGAGAGCTGCACTTGCTCGAACGATTGTCAGCTTCGCCTTTTATTAAAAAAAAAAAGTTATGTTCATTCCCTACGTTACTGCAATGTTAACGAGTTCGCTGCATTTAACTAGCTCGCAGCTCGAGCCGCGCGCGATATGCACGCGCGATTATATTATTTAGCATAATTTTCATGCATATAAAATATGAGCTACGCACAGTCTCTGAGTGTGTGTGGAAACATCGTTCTAGGATGATTTATGCATGCGTTGAAAAAAGCTTGTAGTAAGAAAAGCGTCGTCGTCGCGGCGGGCGGCGAGGCGTTGGGGTGGCGCCGAGCTCCAGCCTAAACAGAAATATTTAATCACTCGGTAATAATAGCATCATCACTTGCTTCGTCGAGTATTATATCGTAATACATGTGAACATGCCTACAATGCGCGGACGACAGCTCATTCTTCAAACTGTGGTTTTCTAATGCTCGGCTATGAAGGCGCGTGCCTCGCTTTCGACAAACAGGTGTTTTAATACAAGTATTAAATCCCGAGAAACAAAAGGAGAAAGACGCCTCATTAGGGCCTAATCTGTTGACACAGCGGCTAGCGTATCGATGGATTAGTACATTTTCTTGGATTTATTCCTTTTATTTATTCATCTACACTTGTAAATTTATAGGGAAATAGAGATTTATAAAAATATTGTTAGTCCTCGAGTCAATCGACGAGGTATGTGTTCACGCAAATAGAGGGTTTTGGCGTGACGCAAACCACAAAGAGAGAAATAGGAAAAGAGAGAGAGAGAGAGAGAGAGAGAGACAGAGTCAACGGTTTAGTATTGCGTTACGCGGCCGACACGCCACTGAAATTGTCTCTTGCATTTTCTTCCGAATGAGTACGAGATTTCGAGCGATGAAATATTCAGGATAACGATCACATTATGGATGCTTTTTCAGCTTTTCGGTCAGCTGAGCGGCATAGGTGTGTGTGTGTATTAATACGCATAGAAGAGAAAATTTATCCTCTGCGCGTTTGTGCAGCTCGTGTATGAGTCGCCTTGGAGCTCGACTTAGCGCGAGTTATATAGAGAAGTAGATCGCGCGCGTGGGAACAGGAAACTCCGAACTTGAGGGAGCAGCCGCCGCTGCCGCACGCGAAAAGCTGCGAACTAACTCGCGTGCTCGAGTTCTGTGCAGTGTACTACGTTGTATATATCTATATCGTATAAACGACGACTCATGAGCTGCTCCGACTCGAGCGAGGGATGTGTTATAGCCGATGTAGCTCTCGGCTCGTTACAAGCCTCTCTACAAATGACTAATGCTGCCCGTTTCGAGTGTAATTTTTTGCCTTCTCGTTTCCATCGAAATATTCGGAGTCGGCGCGCGAATGAGTTGTCGAGCTTTATATACGCTGCAACACGTAGCATTACTATATGCCCACACTTGGAGCTGCAGAGCACTGCAGCAGTTATGTGCGAGTGTGTGTAGATCGTCGCAGCCTGTCGGCCGAATTACGTAATTGACGATAAACACTGGCTTTATTCTGACACGAGCCGCGCACTCTCGGCTCTGCGGACCGCTGTACGTAAACACGAGCTGCTGCTGCGGGACAGCTTCTCTCTCGCTGCTGCTACTCGTCGGAGTAGGTGAAACGTCGATCGATCGCTAAGCGGAGATTCTCCATGACGACAAGGACGAGTGCGAGCGTGAGCGTTGCATATAGCTATATTATGTACAATGTGCGATACGACAACGTATACAGCGGAGTTCTTTTTTTCGCCTTTTTTTTTCTTTTACTTTCGAGAGCTGCAACAACCACCTACGTGTGGCTTAAAAAAAAAAAAATATTCTGTTTTTTTACGACTCGACTCGCAAGAGCTGCGTCAAGCAGTAAAAAGCCCGAAAGTAGAGTTACGATCTTGTCACTGCTGCAGGCGCTGCTGTGCTAACGGAGAGCCGAGAGTAAAAAATAAAATAACGCAAAAAAAGCGGGCAGCTCCAGAGCGAGAGAGAGAGAGAATCGTTGGCTGCTTCGTCGACGAGTTTATATATATGAATGTATATAGGTACAGTGGTCGAAGAAGGAAAAAATGTTGCCAGCCAGAGGAAAGATCGAACGCGGAAAGTATATGGCGCTTAGGAATCTGAAAAACGAGAGAAAGCGGTATGCCAGCAGCAACGGCAGCAGAGCAGCGCCCGCCGATGGAGAATGTAAAATTGTTAGGTAACGTTCTGGTGGTATATACACCACAGCTGCGGTCAATTGTCTCTCTCTCTCTCTCTTCTCTCTCTAGGATACAGTACTGGTGAGAGGTTAGAGATTAGGGATTATATACTATTCTGCTTCTGTATTATTACATGTGCATGCAGCACTGGCGCACTTGGCGAATTTCTGACTCACTTGGGCGCGCTCGGTGTATGCTTTTCAAATTGCCTGTAGTATCGTTTTGTTTGTCACGATGCGTCCTTAAAATTTAGCCTCCATCTTCCTTGCTATTTGCGAAACGTTATTAGGGCTCGGGTGAACAGAGTCAACAGACGATAATTACGGCTATCTCGTGTGTCGTCGAATAAATTCATACTGACGCGTAATATATACAGGGCAGCTTTGGCACGTCATAAAAGTTGACCGGATGAAAATGAAAAATTTGCAGATAACCGAGGAGGTCGGGTCAGCGCGGCGCTGGCAGACAATTTCATAAATTTTGGCTACGTCGTTATCGTACACGTCGCGAGTTCATAAATGATTCGTAATAACATTTGGCAGAGGATACATAATACGAGTATGCAAATAACACAAAGGCTCCCTAAATCCACACGGAGCGCGCGACCGCGTGTAAAGCTGCGCTAGAGCCATCCGTTGATCCTTTAATTACAGACTTTGGCGCGCTCGGGCGTCGTCACGCGT